TGCAGCTTGTGTCCTTTTCCATACCAGACTCCGTGACCCCATCATTCCCATCCTCACTCAGCTCCACTGGCTACCCATCCCCCAGGGGATAGAGTTCAAAATCCTCGCCCTCACTTTTAATGCCCTCCACGGCCTTGCTCCTCCTACCTCTCTGATCTGCTGACCCCAAGTCAACCTGTCCACTCCCTCCGCTCAGTAGCCTGCAGCCTGCTCCACATCCCCGCCTGACCCTCCCCACCATTGGTGATCTGGCCTTCAGCCTTTCTGTCCCCACCCTCTGGAACTCTATGCCACATTCCCTTTGCTCCCTCCTTCCCTTGCCTCCTTTAAGGCACGTCTCAAAACACTCCTTTTCCATTGCGTCTTCAACCACGACCCCCAGATCAGATCCAAAGTCCAGCACCTTGGGATGCCCTCCTGACATAAAAGGAGCTATACAAATATAGTGTTGTTATTGTATTTGTTAACAGTTTCTTGTCCCAGAATGTACCAATTTACGTTTATTTTTTTATAAACAATTTGCTCCAGGTGATCAAGCATTATATACATATTCAAGGACCAGGAGTAACAAGGTTCTACTTCGGTAGAACTCTTTCTGGGTCTACTCCCTGGTCACATTGCCTGCCTGCGTCCATACCTCACAACCAAAGCAGCTGAAATGCCTTTGGTACTTCCCAGCTGGACTATTCTAATTTCTTCCTTGCTGGTCTCCCCAGCTCCACAATACACAAAATTCAACAAAATCAAAACTCCACTGCCTGGATACTCACGGGCACAAAACTCTGTACCCCCATCACAACAGTCCTTGCCAGGCTCCACTGGCTCCAAATTACTAAACGGATCGATTTTAAGATTGTCTCACTTGTTTTCAAATCCCTTCATGCCCTCGCTCCACCACCCACTGCATCTGCTTGGCTGGCTCCGCCCTGCTGTTTGTCCCTCGTTCCCTCAGCTCCACCATTGGTGGCTGTGTCTTCTGCCACTACGTCCCGAAACTCTGGACCTCTTTCCCTCAGTCGGCAGGTTTTCAAAGAAATTGCTTCTTGAAATTATCAAAGGTGGATAATTATGCCTCAGTAGATTTTAGCATAATAAAGCATATTTTGCATTGAAACTTTTACATATTTACATTTTAGATGTCACTTCCAAATAGTTATTAAATGTTTTATTTCTCATCTAAGTTTTAATGTAATAGTTTTGGCTTGTAGAAATAAACTGTACGGTAAAGTATGATTATTTGGACATGTGATTATAAAAATAAGGTGAGATTCAGTGCATTCACTAGTTGTGCTTGTGCATATATATTTGGCTACTTGTCCAGCAAAGATTATTGTCATCAAATAAGATAGGAAGGAGGGAGCATTTCAGAATGTTGACCAAAGGAATTGTCAAGGAGACAAGTTAAGAGGAAACGGAAGACAAAGAGAGAAGGAGTAAGGTAAAGGAATTTGGGGGAGCATTTTTGACACTTGAGGCACAGTGGATTTAAAGTTCGAACACTGCTGCTAGAACAAAGGTGTGAGGAATGAGGTAGTCGACCACAAGAGGGAATAAATGGGAGAATGAAGATGAAGAAGATTGGAGAGGTGGGGCAAGAGCAAGCAAGATCTTGAAGGATTTAAAGATTAGAATCTGGAGCTGATCTGTTAAAAAGGGAAGCCAGGGGCAACTGACAAAGATGAAAATATAAATCTAAGCTGTTTCTTCAAAGTAGAACCAGAGAGCATAAATAGGTGAAAATAGATATCAGGGCAAAACATCTACGAACAGTTATTAATAAACTTTTCAAAATATCACCTGAAGCTGTGATGGAGTTGCTTACCTGGAAGGACATGTTTCGGTGGTGGGTGGAGGTGAATATAATTTTTGTATCCTCAGCTTGCCTTATGTTCTCTTAAGTAGTACTATTAAAGGTTGAATAAGATAATGCTACTTTTGTACGTTTATAAAGATTTATTTTCTTTTTAATGAAAGGCAGGCACCCTTATTTCAAGAAGCATTTTCTTTGAACAGCGGCAGAAGTACAAATTGTTTATTTCTGAGTGTGCTGACGTGAGCACTAAGCCTAAAAATCTTAAATAGCAAATTCCTCATAATGAAGCTGTCAAATCTGAAGGTTTTATTTATCCCATCTTTTATGTCTAACGCTGCTGAATGCATGTTTTCCCAAACTATTAAGTGGTTATATATGCTAAGTCTTGGAAAACAAAAACTAACCTTTGGTACAATGCTGATTTTGAGACTGTGATTAAATCTAACATTGCTGGTTTGGTTCCACTCTTTTTGCAGGTTCACGCTAGCTCTCACTCACCATTATATAAAGCTTTGAGATTAATATTAAAACATAACCAGTTATTCATTTTAAATTGAAATTATCTGATAGATCCGTACTTGTTTGGACATTTCTTTTTCATCCAGTATCGCACTTAGAAAGAAAGAAATAATTTTATATTTCTTTATCACCTGAAAGCATTTGTGTTTTACAATAATTACCTTCTGTTTTGTAGGTAACAGACCAGTATTGTTGAACACTGTAACATCTCAAAAGGGGAATGATCAATTTACCATGCTTTCTTATGCTCTGGGAATTCTGTATTGTCATTGACTGCAATGGCCATCTGTGGACCACATTGTGGTTGTGTTGTCTGTCCCCTCCCTTTCCTTATCTACATGCTCCCCTTTGGTAACATCATTTACAGATATGGGGTTAATTTCCTCATGTATGTGGATTATGCCCAAAGTTTCCTCTTCGCTTCTACTCTTGATTTCAGGTCCTCTGATGTTCTGTCCGCTTGCCTGTCAGACATCAAAACCTGGATGAGCCTCAGTTTTCTGCAGCTTAACATGTTCAACACAGGAATCCTCTTCCTCTGTTCCTGCCAATGCTCCTGTTGTCTGGCTCCTCAACCTCCTTGGCCTCTTTCTCAAACTTATTGAACCATTGCGCAACTTAGCTTTCCTTTGGTTCCTCAACTTTCTTTGTTTTGAATAAGACTGCTTATCTTTACCTTTGCTACACTGCTCACCTAACACAAACCTTACCAATCTCCCTCACTAGGTTCAACTTGATCCAAAACTCTGCTCCCATATTCTCACCTACAGCATACTCGGCACACCCATCACCCTGGTCCTCGTCAGGGTAACTTACATTCTCTCCTTGCCTTCAGTGAATCTATTTCAAAGTCCTCACTTGGGGTATGAGGCTTCACCTTCATCCTTTGGAAATCCCTCTCTCTAGCTATCTGTCTACCCATTTTCTATCTGTCTTTAAATACTGCCCTCAAAATCTCTTCAACTGCAGTGACAGTCACCTCCCCCTTTACCCCTCCAGCACTGCTTGGAGATATTTTTGTTTTTGAGCTTAGCTTTAAAGTTTTCCTGATATTGGCAGATCTATGGATAGGCAGCACTAAGTAAATAATTTTCCTTGTGGTTAACTCATATTTGGAGAGAATCTTATATTTCCATGTCTTTGATCACACATAGAGTCCAAATCAATTTCTTTCATGTGGCTAGGGGAGGAATTTCTAGTGTTTATTCATACTGATTTGAATCACATAATAATGAGAGTGGGTCAGGAACAACTTACTTGCAATATTTCGGATCACTGAAAAGCAGCAACCACAAATATTTAAACATCAGCCGAGCGCAAGAACCATACCAATCTTTGGTTCTTAAATTTTAAAGCTGTTTTACCACATAAAAGTACAAATACATTGCAAATTAAACATGGTAAGTTTGGGGAATGTGGGAGTGGAAAGGAAAAGAGTCCCAAATTATATTTATAGGCTGCCGTTATAGCTCTGTTCTAAGCAGGCAATATGGGCCTGTTGTATATCACAGTTTACACTGTCATTTTCTGAATACTTATACTTCTAGGGAAGGAAATCCAGGAGAGCTCAAGTCAATTGAGGCCATAAAGTTCTGCGTTCAGTATTTTGAGGTTGATAAAATTAATAAAGTGTCTGAAAATATATCCTGCCTTATCTTCTCCAGGTTACTTTAGAACAGAGTTCTCACGGATCGACCCTATGCACAGTCAGAACCAATGATCGCAAATCCAGCATGACTCCTGTTGCACATATTCCGTTCTTGTACCTCACTGTTAAACTCACTTAACTTCTGTATAGCAATCTTGGAATGACTAAGTTTCTCCTGTGTCCTGGCCAACAATCCCCAGATAAAATTGGTTATTCACTTGAAAACTGTTTGTGGATCATTAGTGTGCACAAATTGGCTGTTGCATTCGCCTACAAACTACATAGTGCCTGGACTTTACTGTAAATCCTGTGAAGCATTTTGAGACATTTGAGAATTTGAAGAGGTACTATGTTTTGATATTGTTTAGATGAAATAACCATTCCTTAAGGGGCTGCAAGTATCTCAGAAAGGCTTTTGTTTCCACCTGAGTTCTGTAATCTCTGGGAGTGGGGATTTTTCTGCAGCTCAGGAGATGAGTCTTCTTCCTCAATCAGCTGACTCAGTAGAACAATAACTTGTCTTTAAATATCGTGCGCATATTTAGGAGGAGTCCTTATGAATATGATTTGTAACCAGATTAAAAGAATCAGAATCCATTTTTGGAAGTATCTCTCTCTCTGAATCGTAAAATCCATTAAAATCTTGAAAAGACAGCTCCAAGCAGGTATCATATAATCTCACTGCAAACCCTATCTGTTTTGTTTTAATGCCCTCCACCACACCTTCCAAGTCTTAACAAAATTCACCATCTCTAAAGTCTGTGTTGAGGAGGTAGCTTTCACACCAGTTTGAAGCCTGGTATCATAATGTAAAGCCTCATCTTCATCTTTCATCTCACAAAAATGTAAGATCAAAAATCTAAAATTTGACACAGTCTATGTTGAAACTAATCTGATATTCATGTGTATTATCATTGATAAATCACAGCTTCTTTAGAAAAGTAATTTTCTGGAATTGTTTGGTATTTTAAGATGCCTGGTTATGATTCCTAGGTTAATTCTTTTGTTCTTTTCTTTAAGATATTTTTGTTCCAGCTGCTTCGAGGGCTCTCCTATATACATCAGCAATATATTCTTCACCGTGACCTGAAACCTCAGAATCTACTTATCGGTGATACTGGGGAGCTGAAACTGGCAGACTTCGGTAAGAGGCACTGGTTATTTTCACAAGAGTTTATTCTATTAATTTGTTCCCTATCAAGTTTCTGTTGTGTCTCAGAAAAAAAATCCAAAGTACTTCACAATTGTATTATTATTGCTGGTGAAATCCATTTACTGATGCAGATTACGTATATAAAATCGTAGTCGATTACGATCAAATTCAATGTTTAAAAAAAAGGTGCCTGGAAGATTATCTTTTATTGCAGTTTTTGTGATTTTCGTTCATCTACATTTTATTTTTTTAAATTTCCCTTCCTTCTGGGTGAACTCCCTTTTATTTCTGATAGTGATATGAGAGAATATTGTTACCTGCTGGCTAGCATGCTTTGCAGGACATCTAATTGCAACTGCATCTAAACGTCTGCTCCTGCTGTAGCTGGATAAGATTAAGCAGAGAATTTGTGTTTTGCAGTAGAGATTTTATCATCTGAATTGATAGGTACTGGCACATTGTGGATGTGGAAGCGAATGTGGATAATTTGTCGTCATGCAACTACAAATTAGCTACAGTGCAAACCAAAGAAACCATCATGAGTTATACTGATGCTATAGTACCACACTTTGCCAGCCTCTCTGACTTTATCCCTCAATCTTTTTTTCTCTTTCACTTTCTCTCTAACTGTCTCTTGAGTCTTTTTGTTTCTCTTGGAATCTCTCTCTCTCTCTCTCTCTCAAACTTTCTCTCTCTGATACTGATGTTATTCATCTTATCACCCTCCCTCTCTCTCACTGAGTCTAAATTTCTATCTGATTCTTTCCTCTCTCTTTCTCTGGGTTTCTCTCTCTCTCTAACTCAAAATTTTACCTGCAAAAAAAAATTGTAAGTTAAATATTTCTTCACATTGTTGGATTGCAGGTGCTATGTGCAGCTAAATCACAGATTTTATTTCCTGGCCTCTCACTTCTCTATTAGAGCTTGATGTGGATTAGCCAACATGCAGAGAGTTGCATGCAGCTAGATATGTGGTAATCTACTATATCTCTGAACAATGTAAAAATAATAATAATAATACTTACATTTGGTATAGTGCCTTTCAAGTCAGGAGGACATCCCAAAGCATTTCACAGGATGCAGTGTAAAGTGACTGTGTGTTTTGTGGGCATATTATCACATGAGGTTACATTGCTGGATGTTAAGCCACTTTGGTCCGAGTAGGGTAGCCATATGGAGTTGGAAGCATACTTTATTGTGACTGTTACATATCACTTTCATTTGAGCTGGAAAAAACACAGTTTACACAGCACTTTTTATTTGCATTAAAAGAATGTCAGGAAGTGAAAGATTTCAAGATGTTGACGAAAGACATGGTCAAAGCAAAATGTTTTTAGATGGTTTGAGGCAGGGACAGGCAAAGAGTGGTTTTGGAAGAGAGTTGCAAAGGACAGGATGATGGTTGAAAGCTTGGCCACAAATGATGAAGTGAAGGGAGTGGTGAGTTTGCAATAAATCAGATGAATGTTCCTTTAATAGCACTAAAAATGGTTTGTTCAAAAGAGAGCAGTGAGTCCAGAGTAATTATATATTCTTCTTTGTCCTGTGTGGAGTGAATCGCATCGCTCCTGAAACTCCCTCTCAGGAACGAGTCTCCAGTATAATTAGCTCCTTGGTAACTAATCAGAAGGTGAAACTAGATCAGTGGAAAGGCCTTTTACTGTCAAACCTGTCTTGTTTGTTTGTGAATTGCCACTATTTTGGAAGAGATTTGCTACCAAACATGTGCTGACTAAACAAAGCATTTGCCCACATAACACAAAATCATTCCACTTTACAGTGTATCCTGTGAAGTCCTTTGAGATTTCCTCCGGTGGGAAAGATGCAATCTGTATGCCAAATGTAGAGATTATTATTAGACTTTTCTGGTTCAGGGAGAGGTATTCAACATATTTCAGCAATCAGCCAGAATCCTTCAGTCAACCAGAAACCTTTAGTCAACCAGAATACATCTTGCCTTATTGTTTGTCAGCTCAAGAATCCTCACCCTAAGGTACACCTCAGGAATGCCATTAACCAAGATCTGTAAATCTTCAGGTCTTTGCTTTGTGTTGCCCAGCAGGCACCAGATAACACACCACGTTATAGCACTTAATGAGGAAATCTTACATGGTAATTGCTAATTTTCAGTATTAATTTATTGTTTAGTTTTTCTTTTGATTAAAGCTGCCATGATTAACAGCTGTGTTTACTCAGTGTGAGAAGATCAAATAATGCTTTGGAGAGCTCCAATCTCCATGACACTAATTGGTAAATTGCAGAAGAGTGGCATAGGGGTTTGATGACTTCACATCAGTTTCAATGCACTTGACTGAGTGCTGATTGAAATGATTCATATCTTTGGAAGCGATCAAATGCAGTAAGTCTGAATTTTTAGCCAAGTGCGATTTATTTGGATAGTAAATGTTATGTGGTTTGCTTCAGTAGGGACTGTAATATTCTGCAACTCCACACATGTCAAATCATCTGGAAATATAGTGTGGAACATTAGTGGTGCACAAATCAAGGTGTGTGCAATTCTGATGTGGAATATGGCTTAGAATTAGTTCTAATTATGGATTATTAATCAAAAGAAATGTTTGCTCTGTTGAAGATTCGAACTGAAATTGGTGTATGGTTCTCTTCCATGGATGCTGGATGTTGTCCACTCTTCCTGTATGAGTCTGGAAAGTGGGTGTTAAAGCGGGCTGTGCAGGGATCACAGTTAGTGGCCTGTTAGTGGTATCTCAAAAGTGCTGTAATAGTATAGGTTACAGTGTGGACAGAAAACGCTCGTGACCATAAATAGCTTTTTTTCTCTGGGGTCCCCTGTATAGCTCAGATGCCAAATCATGTCAAAGCTGAAGTCTTGCAACTCTGTGTTATTTATAGAAAGAGCCATGGCAGCATGCACGCATGCACACATGTGTGCACACACACACGTACATACATTTTCCAGTTAGGCCAGCAGATTGTAATGAGAAGCAGAAATGCCTTAGTATTTTTTCTTCTCTCTAGCTTTGGGGTGCTGAGGCCAATTACTGTATTGTGCTCTGACTCCCAGCCCGACTGTGAAGAGAACTTTAGTTGAGCTATTATACACAGTGCAGCCTTGTTGTATCATGCTTCATTATAGCATGAATTCAGTTGTTATGTAGTTGCACTGTAGATTACATTCACTGTGTGTGTGGACAGACCGACTCCTCTTAGTACACCGAACAGCTTTTAGTATTGAAATTGCTATGCATCGGCAAACCAGAAAGTGATGTCAGCAGTGACCAAATGACCCAGAGGTTAGCCATTTTAGTTTCATAAAATCATAGAATAAAACAGCACAGAAGGAGGCCATTCGGCCCATCGTGTCTGTGCCAGCTCTTTGAAAAGAGCTATCCAATTCAATCTCCCCATAGAGTGGGGGAGTGGGAGCATGGACTACTGTAGCTCAGTGGTTAGAGCACTCACCTCACAAACGAGAGATCTGGGTTCGATTCCCGGAAGAGCAAAACTTTGGGCAAGTTTCCTTACTCCACACACCTGATAATAATCCTGCATGAAAAAAACAATAATAAATTGGTCACTTCAATCCACGACTGTTTGTGGGGCACTGCTGTGCACAATTGGCTGCCGCGTTTCACCCACAAATATACAGTCAATCCACTTTACAGTATATTCTGTGAAGCGCTTTGAGACGCCTAGAAGACGTGATAAGAGCTATATCAAAAATGCAAGGATTATAGCCCTGCAAACTTGTCCTCCCCAAATAATTATCTACTCTCTTAAAAGTTGTTATTGAATCGGCTTCAACCACCCTTTCAGGCAATGCATTCCAGATCCGAACAACTCCTGTGCTAAAAATCAGATCACCGCCTTCCTGCTTTGTGCATGTGAGGCAAACAGGAAGTGATGTTGGTGGTTATTCAATTGCTCAGATTTTGGACATTTTTCTTTTACCACAGGAACAGCTCATTGCATAGGGACAGAGTACTCTGGCTGTGCTGTCATACCCACTATAGTGTTTGGGGATTTGATGGATCTCAAGCACTGTTACAATGGGGCTACACTGTAATAAGAACAAAATACTTTCCAATTGACCAATATTTAGCTAGGGGATTTTTTTACATTAAGAAACTGGTGATAAAAATACAGCACTTACATCAAGAGGTCATCTGATGACACCTTTAGGGCAATGCCAGTGAATGTTAAATAAACATGGTATCTGAAACAATTCAGAATAGGAAACTGTATCTCATTTTAGTTTCATTTGATTGAGCATGAGCATTTCAAACCTTAAAGTGGGTTTCTTCAATCCATTACAGACATTCTGCTGAATTACAGCGCTGCTTACATATTGCCATGCTTTTCCTAATAAGCTGGGAGAAAAAACAGATGGCAAAAGGTAATCTTTTCTGAGTCGTGCTCTGCCATTGCCAAGCGATCTGGGCACTACCCTGTGTGAGGGGCGCTATATAAATCCAAGTTGTTATTGTCAAGTGGATATCTGTACATAACAATCCTTTGATATCAAGCCTTTCACACTGGGTGAGGAGATATGAAGCAGAGAACAGGCATCTCTTCACAAGGGACTTTTAGAATGGTGTCACCACTAGTCGAATGTTGTACACCTCTGGATGCCAGCTAACTGTGTCACAGGTAGTGTGTGGGGTGGCAAGAGAAAGGGTGGCTTGCCAGTATTCTTGTGTCCTGAGTAATATAGCCCAAAAAAGAATGTGTATATGCTTATACACGCGGCAGCCAATTGCGCACAGCAATGTCCCACAAACAGTCGTAGATTGAAAATGACCAATTTAATTATTGTTTTTAGTTTGGGACGGATTATTATTAGGGAGTCCTGTAGCTCAGTGGTTAGAGCACTCGCTTTGCAAGCGAGAGACCTGAGTTCAATTCCAGGCAGGGCGAAACCTTGGGCAAGTTTCCTTACTCCACACGCCTAATAATAATCCCTCCAAAACTAAAAACAATAATTAAATTGGTCATTTTCAATCTACGACTGT